TTAGATATTTTGCTAAAGCAGACAATTCCAGGTTTTTCACAGTGATCTGCCCTAATGGAAATGCTTAGGACTGAGATTTGAGGATTGTGTTTCTCTCATTCACTTAATTAACATACAATAGACAAACCACGTCAGACTCCTCACCCATCACAGCCTCTCCTAACATTGTAAAAAAAGATAACTCTTCAAACCCCAACCTAAGTAAAAGCATTTTAAACTTCAAGAAACATTTTAAATTATTTTGTGAATGGGAACATGTAACAAATATAAAATGGGTGTTATCCCAATTTGGCTGCAAAGGTGGAAATACACTTTAAGCTATTTGCACTGACAGTCAGGTACATCAGTCTGTTACAAACCATCACAACGTTTCTGCTTATAAATATGGTTTTATTCAACAAATAATACATAACATTTTATACATAGGAATATATGTACAGCGTGTTTTCAGGTGCAATTATTTACAGAGATAGCAATTTATATTTATATAAAATTGAATTGTATGTGTGGGTTACCAGAAATCATATAAAAAAACAACTCCTCAGTGGTTTACACAATGAAAGCTGTGCTGATTTGAATACATTTTTTAATTAATGTTACACCTCCCATCCTGCAGGTGGCGTCATTGTCCATGGGTACATCTGCTGTAGAGACTTGACATGGCCAAAAAAACAAAAACAAATTCTGATTACCAACTTCTGAAAATCACACTTATCAAAGTGTACATCCAGCCAAACGTTTTTCCTTAGTTTCGGATAGAGTGGGGAAGCATTAGAATTCCATCAGGTTTTTACTGCTATCTGGATCTCCATTAGAGAGATTTCCTCTCATTTACTGTTCTGGTGACTATGATTTAGTCAGACAAGAAGGAAAAAAGTTCCAACAGGGACCCGCACAGAACTAAAAATGTTTTCTTTCAGCAGAGCAGGAGAAGCCCGACCCGTTCTGCTTTTTATTGCTATTGGTGTCCATGTTGCAGATTTCCTCTCACTTTCTGTGTCATTAAACGATTGTCACTCCAACAGCAAGTAAGCAGAAATCTCTCTTACAAACCTACAGATCACAGTTCAAGCCTGACAGGGTTCTAACCCTTCTACACTTTATCCAGTTTTGAATGGACTTACACTTTAACATTTTAGACAGGGCCAGGTTTTCTGCTTACGTCCTAGCCATGGCCTAGGACGTAAGCATGGCGACCCACACATCATGCTGAATGTGATCTTGGGTATAATACAAGGTCCCAGACTGCTCCCCTGCATGCCAGTACCATCTAGCTGTGTCTTCATGGTTGCTGTCCACAGTTTATGCTGCTAAGTTATTGGAGTATTCTACTATGTGCTTACATTTTACCCACTTTGGCTCTGTACACATAAAATCAAACGGCAAACTCAGAAGGGTGACAGTTGCCCTTCCATTTAGGGCTCATTTACACCATTGCGGTGAAATAATGGGCCTGAGTGGTCTGTCTAAAAACTGCCTGGCAATGCGTACATGTTACCCCAACACAATAGTGTGGGTGGGCCCTTAGTCACTGGCTTACTAATTTAATATATTATACTTTTATATTCAGATAGTACTACCGGCATATAATTGACTGGGGTAGGAGGAGATGGCCCAATATAGTGGCCTAGCAGAGCAGGAAGTGTAACTCCAGCCCTGAGTTCAGTTTTGCATGTTGTAAGGCATATCTGGGCATGGTTCAGTCACCTTGTTTCCAATAGTTAATAAAAAAAAAAATATATAAAAGGAAAATTATAATACTAAGGGGTCTATTCCTAAAGCAGCAATATGGCCCCACTGTGGCCATAACGCTGCTTAAAATAAAAAATAAAAGACTACCATACATAAAGTACCGTGGTGTGCTTTACAAATCTGCATTTCCCTCCACTGGCTTTGGGACTCCAGAAGAAAATGAATGAATAGAAAAGCCTACAATCTTAAAGTGACCAATGCCATTCCTTTTACTCTCCCATCAAACAGTGCCTGGGCATAGAGGCTGTTGTAAGCACTTTATTGCTTTATTGTTACAACTCTCCAGCAGTCCCTAGATGGCAGCTGTGAAAACTGTGTAAAAAAGCAATCCCCTAATTGACATCACTGACTTCCAATAGAAAAAAATACTCATTCTGGGCAATAGGGGAAGGAGGTAAGATGTGATTGTATCCAGGCAGACGGAACACAGAGTTTTCACTAGTGATGCACCGAAATTTCGGTGTACAAAAACAGCCAAAAATGCGTCTGAAAATGCGGTGCATTCCTAGCTTCTCTCCTTCCTGCTGGGTGCCGGCTGCAAGCTTCGGTATGTGTCCTCGCTGCTCTCCCCTGCCTGTGTCAGCAGGGACAGCAGGAATCAGAGGGGACACAGAACCAATTCATCTGCTGGTGCCCAGTGGGGAGGAGAGAAGCTGTCAGGGGGCCCAACGGGCCAGTATGGGGAGAAGACAGCTGTCAGGAGGCTGAGCGGGGCAGTGTGGGAGGAAAGTTCGGTTCTTGTGGCAATCAGGATGGAGAGCAGAGCACAAAAACTTAGCAATCAGTACTCATCACTCAGTGTTTGTAAATAACTGAGGACATAGTAAGCTTACTATGCCCCCAGTTATGAATGAACAGGAAGTACTATACATCACTTCCTGTTCATTTATGAATGGGGACATAGTAAATATTTACCATCTGCTTTTATGAATGAACAGCAAGCAGCTCAGTACAGAGGTCCCCTGTCCATTCATGACTGGATTGATAGTACATATTTACTATCTCCAGATTGTGAATGAACAGGAAGCCTTTGTACTGAGAGAGTGCTGGGGCTGCAGAAAAATATATTAAGGACTCAATCTCTTTTTTCTATTTTAAAAGGTAAATATCAGGAGTCTGTTTAGACCCTGATATTCCCCCAAAGCCCCCAACAGTAAAGTAACACATTTTTAAAAATAAAATACATTAAAAATATTTTTTTTACATTTTTAAAAAGGTTGGGAAACAGTAATTTTCAGTTTTGGTTTCAATTTTGGCCTGACAATTTTTATAATTTTGGTTTTGATCTAAAAATTTAATTTTGGTGCATTCCTTGTTTTCACAGCTGCTATCTAGGGATTGTTAGAGAGCTGTGACATGAGTGAATGAGTAGTGAAGAGCTTACAACATCCTCTATGCACAGGTACTGTTATTGGGATAGCAGAAGGAATGGCATGTGTTGAAAGTAAAACAGGTTCTGAGAGACTATGCAGATTGACATTGTTATCCTCTCCTTCTGACAATGCTCGGTGTCTGATTGGCATGCTAATCCATTAACTGTAGGTAAACAGATCACAAGCTCGTACTTCACTCTAACTTTCTAATCTGCTTCTTCATGGTCAGTGACTCAGAAATAATTGATGCCAGAGATGGCCCGGCAACTAGAATGTTTAGAAGGAGATCAGCAACAACACTCTGTATTCCCTCAGTACAAGTCTCCTTTAATCATTAGCAATGTCCTAACATGATTTATTTGACATTCAAAAACACCAAAGAGTGGTGAACCACAAGTATGACAAAATAGCACCTCAAAACCTTTGTCATCAATATTGTTAGCAACTTCGGTAAAATGACAGAAATGTGGTATTGTCTGGATGGATTCAAGCTTTAAGAAAAGTGCATTACAAAAGGCGAGTGGCTGCCGACAAACGGCCACAAGCAATACCAGAGGCTGCTGAGGGCCACAAATAGCTGGTGAACCTCTGACTGAGGTGACTGCTCCATAATATTGGCAGAAGACTGAGCAGACAGATGCCTAAGGTACATAGAAGATGGGACAAAGTATAATACTGGACGCAATATTATAACACGCCTTTGAGGCCTGTGCATGAAGCGCATAAGCAGATATGATTATTACAATTGTAATTTTGTGATGGTAAATCCACCCTGCATAAAAAATGCAGAAATGTAAAACATGGATATGATATGGCAAATAGCAGAAAATACGGTTGTATGTAGATTGAGGTGGATACATTATTGTAGTTTCTGTGCCCGGGGTGTACAAATCCCCATCTACAACAACAGTGGGGATAGCCACAGAACAAACATGGAAGTTCATTGGCAGGAATATCTTAGATCATACAGATTGTACCATAACACCCTGTTACTAAATCTGCTGCTGTCTTGGATTATAATCAACAGTTTGAGGTTTTTGTTTATCCCTTAGTACAAGTTTGGCAAACTTTACATGCCTATGGTAGGTAAAACTATGTAATACTCAAGTACTGCACAATTTGTCACAGAGGGATAATTCCCCAGAAGGACTTGGCATGCAGCCACTGGTAAGTCTTCTTCAGCCTGCCATGGGTGATATCTGAAACAAATGCACCTACACCAAGATAGATTAAAAGGAAAATCCTTAAGAACACTTCTACAACAAAAAGCTCAGCAGTCCTAGGTGTGGTAATTTCCTGTGGTGCCATACATAAGCAGTTCAGTATCCTTGGCTGCAAGAAGAGCAATAATACACCTGCCCAGCTCAAAAGTTGGCTTTCCCTACCAGCATGGCTTTCTCAGCTCTTCAGCACTAAATAGCTATGCCCTACGGTTCTGACCCTTTTTCCAGATGAACTGGCTGGTAATTCATATGTAAACCTCTGGCTGTAACATAGACATGAAAATGATTGAATTTATAGACGGCATGGGGAGATGACTGAACGCCATTTCAGATGTCTTGTCGGCTCTGGCCAAACTCCACTTATATTGGTGGACGAGGTTGCCCATTGCTGTAATGGGCCAAGAGTAAGCACTGGACTGGGTGGGCCTGAGCCAGCAAACACAAAAGCTGTCACTATTTGCATATTAGGCACCAAGGTATTCAGGGGCCCATGGAGCGGTACAAAAATTGTTAAATGACACACAAGCATCGGGAGAGGCCTTCTGTACATTGTGTCATTTTCATGTCTATGTTATGGTCAATGGTTTACTTGGAATTTAGAATCTGTGAAATGTGCCATTGTATATTGATTGCAGAGAACACAACTAGGCATGGAACCTTCTACAGAGACAAGACACTTGTATTAAAATCAAATCTCATACACATCAATACCTATAGCCTTCATGGAGGGCAACGTTAGTGATTTGTTGGCCAATTAAATCACATTTAAATACCCACTTGTACATACAATGTGAAGATAAAATATAGTTATTAAAAAGTAAATTATTAATGCAAAGAGTATGCACTTAGGTCAACAATCTACCCTCACAAACCATGTCATTCAGAGGATATCCTGGTGGGTCCGGATAAAGGGATCAGTGCAATTCCACCATGAATTAAGTACCGAATCTCTTAGGGTTATGGTCACTTTTGGACACATACGTAGCAACATAACCATATCATTGTATATAGTATCCATGCACAAATTAAAGTCTTTATAGCAAGTCTCAGTGGACCATCCTTCTAAAGTTTCCACCAACCATATAGGCCTACAAAAGCCTATACTCTTCTTCATGTGGCTCATCGTTATACCGTGTCTTCTGATTTGTCACCATGGATACCATGAAAATACAGCTGTCCGCCATCATCATCAGAAGTAGACAACATAATTCTCTGGAACTAATCCGGTCTTGTCCTCATAGGTCGCCTTTAACCAGCCTGGCTCCACAGATCGGTGCACTGGATAACATGCAAAAGATGGAGATCCATAAGATTTGCCATGTAAAATTGGCCAAGATAATAAAGTTACAGCTCAAAATCAAGTCTCATATTTTTTGTCTCTTTTATAGTCCTATAAATTTTAGCTGATTTGCGGTCGGGAAGGCTTTAAAATACCTATTTTTCCTGTATATCCTGCACTTCCACTTCAGTGTTCTATGCTGGCAGAGCTGAGTAACAGCCACACCCCTTAGCACAAGATACTCACATAGCGCTGTACTGTAGATGAAAGGTGGTAAGGAAGAGGGGAGTGCTGACCATGGCTGTTACTGAGTATCAATGACTTACTACACTAAGGGGTCTATTCACGAAGCAGCCGAAGGCTCTAGCCGTAGCTTCGGCCGATCCTTCGGCTAGCTTCGGCCCCAGGACCCCTTCGGTAGTTTTTGGGTTTTTTTCTATTCTGACACGGGTCCGTGTCAGAATAAAGAAAAAAAAGACACAGCAGTGTTTCTCTCCTGGGCGGCCAGGAGCGGGAGACTCCCAGAGTGCCCGGGAGAGTTTTTTTGTCTTTCTTTTTTTTTGACGGCAGCAGAAACGCCGGCCAATAGAAAACTGTTGGGCGGAGCTAGCTGTCATTGTTAGCTCTGCTCAATCGTTTTCTATTTACTTTTTTTGTACTTTTTAAACTATTTTTCTGTTCTGCTCGGTCTCTCTGAGGGACCGAGCAGAACAGCCGAGTCGAATGCCGCTCAGCGGCATTCGGCTATTCACTCACTGCTGTTCGGCATCTATAAGAATAGACCGAACAGCAGCAAGTAGCCTGCCGGAGGTTCGGATCAGCCGATCCAGATGTTGGATCGGCTGAGTTGAACTCCTTCTGCACTTCGGGTTGGCCGAACATGCTGAGCATGTTCGGCCAACCCGAAGCCACTCGAAGCAAGCCGATGTACGGCTGATTTTAGCCGATGTACGGCTGAAATCAGCCGTACCAGCCTGAAGTGAATAGCCGAACAGTGTTTGGCTCACTTCACTTGGGGTCGGTTTTTCACTCGGCTGCCCTCGGCAGCTTAGTGAATAGACCCTTAAGTCTAATTCTTGGACTCCACAGTCATACCTAATCACACTGTAGCAAATGGAGGCAAACCTATAAAAACTAAGGCTATTAGTGAAATGTCAATCTGACTGAATATCTATTTCTTTGACAAATTGGGCTTTAGCAGCAAGGAAAATTGTGCAATATCTTCACAGAAATGATTTTTATAAAAAGAAATCCAAGACAAGACCTCAGGTTTGGGGTGAGGTGAGCAACAGCTGTAAGCTGAAGAAATCTTCATTCACAGAAGGGGGCATTTATTAAGGAATACAGCTAGATGCAACCAGGCCGCCTCCCTTTAAGCAAAGTCTCTGCGGCAGATTTTGTGTATTTGTGACCTGTGTAATCCCGAGCAGCCTACTGCAATATATTTTCACAGGTCTGTAACAAATGTATTACTGAAGATTAGACAGATTTGCAGTCTAAACAGAGACACTTAGGTCAGGGTTAGGTTTTAGGGACCCTTCCCACCAGCAAGCAGAAATTAGAAAAAAATGTAAATACAAAAAAAAAAAATATTTAAGCCCCCAACGTGCAAACACGTGTCAAATGCGCCTACATGCGTGAGCGTCGCAGTGAGAGCAATATTTCTAGGCCCATCAATCACTGTTAGCACTAAACTGATGAGCCCTAAAAGCATTTAAAGAGTCGTCTATGGGAAATTCTGGTTATTGTAGTTTTTTTACGAACGCACGTAATTTTAAGGCTTGACATGTTTGGTATCTATTTACCCGGTGTGACTCCATCTTTTATATGTTACCAAAAAATTGGGTATTATATTCTGTTTCTGTGCACTAAATTTCATTTTAGTGTATTTTATCCTAAAAATACTTGTTTGATAAACATTTGAGCAAATACTGTGTGACATAAAAAATTGCAACTAGCATCTTTTTATTCTACAGGGCCTCTACTTTCAGAAAATATATCATTGTTTGGGGGTCTGAAGCTGTTTTCTAGCCACAAATTCAGATTTTATCATGTGTGCAAATATAAGAAATTGCTCCGGGCAGCAAGTGGTTAATTACATGTCTGATTGTAGAAGGAATGTTATGGGTATATTATAATAATAATTCTGGATTAGCAAAACGACATTTCTCCATATGAATAGTGACCCTGCAATAGTGCAAACTGTGCATATTGATGGTGATATCTGGCGCTTCAGGTCTGATTATATGGAGATATTAAGAACGTAAACAAATATTAAAAGGTATGAATTTCATCATGTGGTATATCCCATAAGGAAGTTCATAGTGTGTGGAGATTAAACAAAACAAAGAAACAAGAGCCCATTTAAAACAAAGCAAACTGCCTCCTGTCTCTGTGTTGAGGCTATGCTGGAAAAGGTGTCCAGTGCGGCCCCAACGCATCTTGCGTGAACTGGCCCCGGGAGGTATTTATGAACCAAGTTATAACTTTTCAGTAAATCTCTTACTCATGTTTAGCATTGCCTTGCTCCGTGACAAAGTTAATAAAGGTCCCCCTCAGAATCAATTGTTGGCACCAAAGGAGGCATTCTGACAACACAAATGGCAGGCCTCAAAATTTGCTGATTTTTGGATCAAACACCTCCCAGGTCTGGAGTTTACCAGTATCAAACAACAGAGCAACATAATTGCTTGCCTCCATCTTAAAGTGGTCTGATACTTCACACTGCACACACAAATGCTGGGAAACATTAGGTCAGGGCAGCAATTGTAAAACCTCAGGGTGCATTCTATAAATCTCTCATAAGCCTTTTTGAATAAAGAGAAATAAATATTTAAATACTTGCGTAATCATGACAGGTTCTCCTTAAAGGCAAGCAACACATACAAGCAGTGCTACGCCACATACACAGACATCCCAACTCTCCCGGACGCTCCGCAAGTCTCCCGCTATTAGATAGCGGCTCCTGGCCGCCCGGGAGAGATACATTTTCTCCCGGAAAAGTTTACTCTGCTATATCTAGCACGAATAAACCTTTCCCTGCGATCTGTTTTTTTGGAGTTTTTTTCCTGACATCCGGGCCGCCCGCCATAGAAAAGAAAAAAGCATAGGAATGAATAGCTAGATTCCTATTGGCTATTTCACTTTGCAATAGCCAATAGCAGACTAGCTATTGCACCCGCCCACTGCTGCTGTCAATCAGCAGAAAGGGACCTGAAGTTCTCCATCAGGTCCTCGTCTAGTGATTGACAGCAGCAGAGGGTGGGTACAATAGCCAGCTTGCTATTGGATATTACGGCAGCAGCTGTCAGAATACTAAAAATAAAAAAAAAACCCCAGCAGATAGCAAATAAGCTATTGCTGCTCATGCTATCTGCCATCATATGAGGGGATGGGGGGGGGCAGGTTGGGATCCCTGCATACATACTCTATCGCCTCTGTCAGATGTAAAATCTTTATGAAACATTATTCTATTTCCATGCAGTTCATTCAAAAGTAAATTGCTAGATAGCTATTCACTGTGATTACTTATTAATGAACAGTGTTTTTTCTAGAGTGCGCTACAAAAAAAAAAATGTACAGACAATAACACAAAATCAGCCTCAATTCAAGAATATATCAGGACAGGAACTATGGGGAAAGGTGAGGTTCTCATGATCATACTGAAATGAAGAAAAATGATGGTGTAGAAAATGGAATGAAGTAGAAGAGATCAAAGAAAATAAATCCTGACTATATAACACTCCGAATAGAAGGCAGAATTACAGAGAGCCCGAAGTGATCTGATGTAGAAGCACAGACTTACCATTGGTGAATAGCGCCCCCTGGGGGAAGGAGAGCTCATGGCTGTGTTCTGCCTTACACGAATACATTGCTTTTGCTTGCCTTAAAAACGACAATTAAAAATAAAACAGTGAGTTGAAAAATGAAAACATACAATTAGGTTACAGACATACACAAGAATACATTCAATTTCAAGTGTTAAATACTTAAGCTACAGTTAATGGAAATACTTTTCTATACATACAGAGCATCTCTACAATAATAAAATAAGAAATATACAATCGATCTATCATTTTAATGCAGGTTATTCGGTCTGAGAAGACCCATCTGACAGCTGCCGCACAATGTTAACAAATAGGCAGAGCCAGCGGTGTACTTGTACCCCATCTCATACACATTTGTTTTTTTTACTTTTTAACTTGGTGTCCCTCCTAACTTTCCTACTAGACCTGAAGGGTCTGGTATGGATCAGGAGGGGGATCCCACGCGTTTTTTTCTTTTATTAACATGTTTTGTTTTTTTTAGTTTGCTCGCTACCTCTGAGGTAGTGAACACAATAACCCGAGCCGAATGCCATTTGGCTATTCACTCACTGCTGTTCGCCCCTTCTGAGAATAGGGGAGAATGGCAGCGAGTGAACTGCCGGGTGTTCGGCTCAGCCGATCCACATGTTGGATCGGCTGAGTTGAACAGGTTCTTCGCTGCGGCTCAGCCCAGCATACTGAGCATGTTTGGCTGAACCGAAGGGAGCTGACGCCAGCCGATGTACGGCTGAAATCAGCCATACTCGGCTAAAGTGAATAGCCCGAATAGCGTTCGGCTCCCTTCATTTCGGCTCGTTTATTCACTCAGCTGCCGAATAACCCCCTATATCTTTCATAAAAAAACGTAAAAATTGTAGCTGATCCTTCTGATGGCAACTAAAATTGCCTTAGAAACTCCTTACAAGTGACAGTTGCTCCCAGTTTTTATCTCAGCGTAGGACCCTACAGCTGTCACACGCCAGTTCTATATCAAGAGCAGAGTGATCGTGTGACTGCTAATTCCTCAACTTACTGTCAGTCTAGTGGGCAATAGGCTACTATAGGCTGACTTTGGTACACCGAAGTACATTAGTGACTGTACTTCTGTGACCCAAAAGAGAATTTAAAACAAAAAAGGTTTGTATTTAATTCTCTATTAAAGCATTTTGGGTACCCCATGTACCCTAACACTGGCTGTACATTGTACAAGCTAAATACATTTTCAGAATTCATGGAACTATTGACATGTAAAGCAGCTATGTGACATTCACTGCTGCCATAGATTTAAATAATAAGGATAAAAAAAAGCCATCAGCTACATCTTACAGACCTGGTTAAAAAGAGCTTTATCCTTGTGTAAAGGTTCATGACGTTTGCCTTTACAATATTAAGACAATATTGACAATACTGCACTTTTTAACCATAATAAATCCCATTAGTCCCCCACAAATGGAGCTTACCCACCCCAGGGTCAAACTGGTCACATACCCACTCCAGGGTCAATCTATCCACTTCAGTGTCAATTTGGTCACATACCCACGCCAAGTTAAGTTTGGTCACATACCCACTCCAGAGTCAGTTTTGTCAGGTACCAATTAACCTGTCAGTATGATTATGAAGGAGAGAGGCACACCATGCAGATCTCTGGTGGGATTTGAACCTGGTCTGTTCACATACCTACAGGGTCTGTTTGAAGGTAAGAGGAACATCTGGAACAAGTCATATCAGTCCCTGGCTAGATGAAACTTACCCACTTCAGGATACAGCTAGTCACATACCCACAGGATTGTTTTGGTCAAATACAAATAATCTACTAGTATGATTTCTATTGAAAAAGTACAAGTTACATCAGTCCCTTCCCAGTTGGTGCTTACCCAGTTCAGGGTCAATTTGGCCATATACTCTTTCCAGGGTCAGTTTGGCTATATACCCACTCCAGGGTCAGTTTGGCCATATACTCATTCCAAGGACAGTTTGGTCATACACTCACTCCAGGGTCACATTGGTCATATACTCACTCTAGGGTCAGTTTAGTAGGTACCAATTAGCCTACCAGTATGAGAGGGGAGCATCAGAGATGTTATCACTGGTGGGATTTGAACCCAGAACACAGAGACAAGGATAATAACTACTTACAGTAGCTGTCATACTGCCAGCTGATACTTTTTTAGAGCAAGCTGGTAAATGACGCATCTTCAGTTTGCCCCAAGAAATTACCTAAACTTTCAGTAAAGATCTCCCATACACAAACAATCTTTTTTCTGCCTGTTGACGCAATCATTGCCACCTAATAACATAACTCTTTTTATAACAATATTTATCAGAGTGGCATTGAAAATAAAAAAAAATAAGTTAAAGGAGAACTATGAGGTGAGTGAAAATCACTCATCCTCATAGTTCGAGCCAATGTGTGACAATGAAACTGTCACGCGTTGGCTCAATAGATCGGGAAGTGAGCGAACACATACCGTCGCTTGCTCACTTCTCGATCATCTCCCTGCAGTCACGGCTCCTTGCAGGTATTCCCCCCTCCCCGCTCCGATTCTCCAGCGAATGACTGGAGGAACGGACGGGGAGGGGGCGGGTACAGCTGGCTCTGCCTCTGTCACTCATGCAGCTGGGTGGATCTCGAGAGTAATGTCTCTCCATCCCGGTTGCGGCAGTCTCAGTATACCGCAAAATACTGAGCTTTGGGTCACGGGAGGTCGCTAGTATATGTCCCCCCGTGACCCTTAAGAGAACTATGGGGAAAAACATTTACCCCATAGTTCTCTTTTAATGTTCCCATGTAAAAGATGTCTTAACGGGTGCCCTGTACATTGTGTGTGGTATGTTGTCCTTCCCCCAGCTAAGCAGCAATGTGTCCATGGAAATTATTTTGAAAGTATTGCAATTATGAAAGGGCTATGCAACAAAACACTACATTGCTTTTTATCAGGCTGACAGATGTCGGTACTCTATGTGCCTACAAAAAAGCTGAGAAAATGCAAGTCCCAGCAAATGGATGACAAGTAACTATCTAGTGCATTGGTCAGCTGCCACCACATCAGACAGGAAAAAGACTTCCTCCACCCTCTTTTACGGGGAACAACATGCTACTCTAGTAGCCAAATATCATTACCCCCAGAGGACATAATTAATTGTGAGAATAAACAAATATTAACAATTCATGGAATATCTGGCATGAGCAGAAAAATTTCCCATGCCTCTTTGACCCCTTGTACTCGGATGCATACTGCACTGCGTATTTCTTGTCATAGACATTTTTCCTGTTAACTATTTCATTTCAGATGCATTAATGCTGGATACACGGTTTTCCATGCACATTTATATGTATTATCAACAATTATGTATTATTATGAGCTGCTATTCCCATCACCTAACTCGATAATACACATTGATGGAATAAAATACAGACAAGGCACATCCACGCATCACACAGATGAACTAGTACCATTTGAAGCAATGGCTATCCTGTGTGCATGCATAGACAGGCATTAAAACGCATAGGTGTGGATGGGTCCTAAGTGTTATAGTTTCACACATCTAAATAAATCCAGGAAGTTGTTGAAAGTGATGGCAGAAGACATCCCTCATTACATGAAAGGGATTTTTTGTAGTAAGCTTTGATTGCAAAAACAGCTATAGAATGTATTCCTATTACAATGCTGATGTTATAACATGATAATAGGGATGCACCGGTACCAGTTTTTCGGTATCGGGCACGAGTACCGATATTCATCTTTTGGTACACGCCGATACTGAACAATGCTACTGGTGCTTCCCTAGCATGGAGCCGGGTTCCCGGCCAATCATCACCAAGCCAGCCGAACAGCATGGAGTTGGCTTCCAGGTGAAGCAGAAAGCAGGGCAGAGAGTCATTACCCATCGCCCAGCTTCCTGATTGCCTGCTCCATGTTCCCTCGTGGGACTGCCGGCCAGAGGAAATCTACTTCTGACCGGAAGTTCCGGTAATGGGTGTAAGTATCGGAGCATTTGGGCAAGTACGAGTATTTGCCAAACTACTTGGTATCGGTGCATCCCTACATGATAATATCCACTATGACTTTACAACTCTTTTAAATGCAACCACTCTTGAAAAAAATATTGCATGTGAAATACTGCAATGGTACAAAACCCTTCATGCTGTGCTGCCAGATAGAACTACAAAATAAGCTTGGTCTGTAGAATCGAATAGTATTTAATACTTACCGTCCGGGCGTCAACTGTTTCAGTGACCCCGCACTTTCAAAAAGCTGGGCTCTAGCTGCCACTCTGAAGAAGAAAACCAAGGGAAGAAAAACCTTTATTCAGTGAAAACATTTTAAAAGTTGTTAGTTCAATAAACTTTAGATCATTTTTTGTGCAAGCAAAACTGTAACTGTGTATGTGGAAAGGGTGGCTTTAAAGTTTACCTGTACCCTTGTCAGTCAATGTATATTAATGCTAGACTGTCTGTGCAGGTACTCAGAGCTGCCTGATGATAACCACGATTATCCTAGAGCAACTCCAAAGCATTAAACCTGGGGTGTTCTAATATGCAAGTATTGACAATTAGGTGCTGGCCCGGAAACCCTTACCGGCTTTCCAGACGGATGGCCTTATTGACAAATAGATGACTGGGATTCAATATCTGCATTTTAGATTTCCCCAACTTTTGGAGCTTTAGGACACAGAAAGAAAAGAGGATATGTGTAGACATCTCTGGAGGCCAGCACTAACAGCTTGATGCTAGATTGCAGGTGCTGCCAAGAGTAAGGGTGCACTTTAATAAAGAAGTAGCAAGGGCATATGCCAAAGCACATACTGAATGGTTTTAAAGCAGTCCCATGGGCTTTGCGCAGCCAAAAAATGTTTAAAATAGAAACAATTTAAGCCCCACCCCCCAGCAAATAACCCATGTATGTTATATAATAAAGCTCCACCCAATTTATAGATAGAGGCTGTAAGCAGGTTCCCTTTTTGGTTTTAGAGTGATGTTTAGAGGTCCTGAACGGCAGATGACCTTGTCACAGCTAACACTTGTACATCTGCTAATACTGCTATAGTAAAACCCAAACAGAATGGAAGCACACCATATTAGAACACGTCTTGAAGGAGAACTATGGGGCTAGGGCTTTTCCCCATAGTTCTCCTAAGGGTAATGGGAGGACACAAACTAGCGTTCTCCCGTCACCCAAAGCTCAGTATACCGCGAGCTACAGCTCGCGGTATACTGAGACGCCGCAGCCGGAACGGATCCCGACAATTATGTCTGGATCCACACAGCTGCGTGAGTGACAACTGGCTCTGCCCGTCTAGAGGCAGAGCCAACTGTACCCGCCCCCTCCCCCGTCCGTTCCGCCAGTCAGCGCTGGAGGATCGGAGCGGGGAGGGGGGAATCCAGTCCTTCCCCTGTCATGGCTTTCTGCAGTGACAGGATCGAGAAGTGAGCGAGCGCCGGTATGTGTTCGTTCACTTCCCGATCTACTGAGCCAACCTGTGACAATTTAATTGTCACAGGTTGGCTCACATTATGAGGCTGAGTGAAAATCACTCGCCTTATAATTCTCCTTTAAACATGATGTTTTTCAAAATACACTAAAACCTTTATTGTTGGAAGAGCCAATTACTGTGCGTAGCCTACCTCTTATTACCTCCTCTTTTAGAACATTCTATGTATTACCTTAATGCATGTGAAATTCAAAGTCAGAAATGTTAGCACAATTAATGGAAGGTTGGAAAAGGAAATCTCTATTAGTTACTCTGCAATGTGCTCCATTATAACCCAGTGCAAATGGAGAGGACAAGACATTGCTATAGAGCAGTCATTACGTAACCCTTTTTAAACCAGGGCTCATTTAGGCATAGGTGCTTAGGCCAAATTAAGCAGCATCAGTAGGCATTGGTTAATGTTAGATTTACTGGCACATAACACATTTATTTGCTGGTAAAAAAAACAAAAACCCTGC